GTGGGAGGCTCCCCAGTCACCGAAAGGGACGTCAGAGGCCAGGCAGCCAGAAAAAAAGAGATGTGTCCACATCAACCTCGTCTCTAATGTGGGGATAATTAAACAAGAGGCCAGCCTACTCACAGGGCACTCAGTAAATGTAGGACGTCCCATGGCAGCCAAAGCAATGGTGTGAAACTTGAATCCGTTTGTACGTCTCTCCAGCTTGAAGGCGGCCAGCGGTTTCTGCTGCACCTCCAGTCAACCCAAACTGTGGGAAAAGCATGGGGCCAGATCCCTGCACTCCCCCCCCTCCATCTCCTTCCCTGCGTCCCTCTCCATGCCACATTCTGGGCATACTGGCCTTCTGCCTCCTCAGCTAGGTCCTGCTTCATGCCCCTGCACGGGTGGGCAACTCTTCCCAACTCTCGGTGGGTCCAGCTTCTTCATCTGTCAAGATCCCACTGAAACGCCACCTCCTCAGTGTGGCCTCCCCTGTCCTCAAGAGGTCAAGTTGCTCCTCTGCCACCATCCCACTGTCCCCCACCTCTGCTCCGATCGCCTGGATGCATGGTAAACAGTTCTAAGTGGTGCTCGCTTCTGCAGAAACAAAGAGTCTGTTTCCTGCCATACCTCAAAGGGAGGAAATAATGGGGGCTACTTTCGGGGGCATAGGTAGGGGATCGTGGTTTGGGCTTCCTGGGGAGAGGCAAGCTGTTTGTCAGTTGAGCAAAAAATAGCAATGCCGATCTAACCCCGGGCATTAGCTCTCAGCCATCATCGGCAGCTGGGCGAGGAATCCCTTGGTCTTAAGCCAGTTCCTCCTTCCTTCCAAGAGAGGGATCCCTCAGCTGTTGGGCAAGTGAACAAGACCAGACCAGAAGAGGACCGGGCCTGGCTTAACACAAGGCCGGTGGAATCCAGGTCCCTTCAGAAACTCTTCCAAACGTGGATTTATTGTAAATATTTATTTTTTGCAATTAAAAAGGGGGGGCATCTTTAATAGAAGGCAGACGAAATAAAGCTGAGTCAGTAGGATTAGAAGTGAGAAAGAGGGAACAAGGAGGAAGCAACTGCCAAAGTTGTTGGGAACAGGGGTAGAATTTGGCTCAGAGCTTCCTGGCAGCCAATGCAAAAAGGGAAACCTGATCAGTTATGGAGCTCTTCTTATTAGCAAAGGACATGCTTGCCAGTTCCACGGGTGAAATGCAATTGATTTTCAGGTTTTGTGTTTTCCAGGCACTGAATCTTGAGTGAAATTTCTCCCTTGAGGGTTTAGGAGGGATCAACAGTTCATGCCACAAACAACATCCTTGTTTTACAGCAAATGTGGAAGGGAATTGCTAGTGACCCAGGGGCTATTCAGCTCATATCCTGGATGTATATTTTGCAATATCATTATTGGTAGGTAAGAAAGGCCTCAGGTTAGCTTTTCTTTCCAAAGAGCCAAGCTTGATTCCCTTAGAGCATCTCTGTCTCCTCACAGGGTCCTGGAGGTGACTCAGTTAGTACTTTTTTTTTTTTTTTTTTTTTTTTTTTGTCATGGGGAGGTCATGAAGTACCTGACCTCAAACCACAAAGTTCTGGTCACTTCCTTTTGTGCGATACCCCCAAGAGAGAAATTTAGGAAATATTTACCATTAGGTTGAAAAGCTGCATTATGGAAAAGGACAATAAATCAGAAGTATCCAGGAGCAGAAGACATTGGGCTAGGGAGTCAAGCCCCCTGAGTTTGAATCTTATCCTACCTCTAACTAGCTGTGTGGCCTTGGGCAAATTTCTTAACCTCTCTGAGCATGGTTTCCCTGTCTGTAAAAACAGTGATGACGATATCTGCCTTGGATTACTGAGTCAAATGGTAATGTCCTGAAAGTGTGTGCAGTGTGTTCTGTTTGCTTCCATCCCCGTCTCACCTCCCCTGCTAGTAGTTCCAAGGAATTCAAGCGGAGCTCCCACCCCACCCCTACTTCTTCGTTTCAGGCCCAACTCAGCCCACAGAGGGAAGCCGAGGTACAGCCTCACAAGACCTGCCTTGTCTGGACCACTTGTCCATGGCAATGACCTTCAGACCCCAGAGCCACTTTCTGTCCACACTTGCCCAGAAAACCTGTGCTGACCCTTGGGTTGCCATGGAGTCCCTTGGGAGATGGTTCTAGCAACTGTCCCATCTTCGTTTCAGATTCCTTCCTGTGCCTTAGTCTCCATTATGTGGCTATGGGGCAACTTCTTGAGGGCAGAATGTGGGATCCCTGGTCCAAACTCTTTGGGTCTTGTGGGAAGAACCTGGAGCCCACACAGGAAGAATCCTGTGCTCCAGGGGACACGGTGTAGGCAGGAGGCTATGCCTCAGACCTAGGTCTCCGACCTGTGCAGTGTCTCTCTGCTCTCCGAGGATCACACCTGCAGCCCCTGCTCCCCAGCCTGCAATGCCGGAGGACCCAGCCCCACTTCACAGATGCAGCCCTGGGACCCAGTGTTCCTGGCAAGGGGAAGCCAGACTGGGCCACACAGATGGGGAGATTTAAATAGAAAACCAGCACCACAAGATAAAATTCCCTCTTTGCTTCACTTACCAGCTCATTCCCTTAAAGACCTTTTTTGCTTTTTGGAGGCTGTGACCACACTCTCTCTTTATCCATTTGGCTTTCTGGACTCATCTCCAGGTCCTCTGCCCACCTATTCTGCACTCTAACCACTTCCTGGCTCCAGCTTCTTCCTGCAGGACACAAAGAATTTGGACCAGGGGTCCCACATCCTGCCCTCAAGAAGTTGCCCCATAGCCACGTGACCCCATGCCAGTCACCCTGGGCACTTTATGACGTCTAGGTCTTTGCTTGTGCTGTTGGCCTTCCTGAAATGCCATCTTACTGCTGGTGGAAATACCAGGGGGCCCTCCCCCGCCCCCCCCCCCACCAACACTGCAAGGCCCACTTCTGACATTTCTTCCTCAGTGGACTCTACTCCTGGAAGAGAACAAACAGCTCCTTCCTCAGTGCTCTTTCACTGCCCAAGCGCTCAGCCTCCAGTATAATGCTTAGAGCAGTTGGATGTACATTAACCACTGAATTATTTCGAGTTCGCTGTGAGTGCCTCCATCTCCAGGCTAGGTGGAGACCTCCTTGAAGGATCCCTCTTTACTATCTTGGTGCTCCCCTGTACCCAATACTCTGCCTGGCATGGAACAGATAGACTCTCTGGGAATGTTTATATTATATTGGCTGTCATGGAATTACGGCATTAGTTACCGTTCCTTGAGCATCTACTGTGAGCAGTCCAGTGATGGGCCCTTTAAATATGCTCTCATGGCCCCTCACACAGAGCTGGCAGGCAGCTGGAGGGTTACTAGTGTGCCTCACTTGCAGAGGAGGGAACTGAGGCTCAGAAAGGGGAAGTCACTTACTCAGGATCACCCAGCTAGAAACTGGATTCCATGAAGCTGTGTTCTTGATGTCAAAGTTAAGGGGGAAAGATGATGTGGTACAATAAGTTTTTTCACTGCCCCCCCCCCACACAACATCCGACTCCCAGAGCCCCCACCACATCCTGGGCCCTGACCATGGACACCAGTCTTAGGGCAGGGCTCCTAGCCAACCGGGAGGTCGACCGGAACTTCATTCCCTTGGGAGGAGGCCTCCCTAGGGTGGTACCCACCAGAGGCCCCCAGTGCCAGCTCTTGCAGGGCTCGGATTGATGGACATTTTGGGGAGCGGGGTGGGGCGCTCCTCACTGGGCAGCGCCCCACCTGGGCGCCTTCTTGGGACTGAATCCCTCCAAGCAAACTCTGACTTGGGGTGGGGGAGGGTTAGGGCTCGCTTTTTAGAGCCAGCGTAGCACAGCCTCCCTGGGCAGGAGACCTTTCAGTTCTGCCACAAGCCTTGTGGACAATGCCAAGAGAAAGCGGTTATTTTGGGAATGGTTGTCGTGGTTACGCCATCCCGCGGTGTCCTCTGCCCCATCGCCGCCCCACTGGCTTTGTGGGCGCTGAAGGAAGCCTTTCAGACTTTTCAACACTTTGTCTTTATGAAAATTCCGCCCCACCTTTTCCTGGCTACCTTGTCTCTCTGGGATATTGAATCCCATTCACAGATGGAGAAACTGAGAAACCGAGCAACGGAGGGAGGCTTCAATCAACGTCTTTTCCAAATCAGCCAGGGACCCGCCTGCCGGATTCTCAGAATCTCAAACCCTGTAACGAATTTCCACTTGAAGAACACGTGCGGTGCCCGACTTAAAACCGCAGCCCCGCAGAACCAGTTAACATTACGAGCGAACCCCCACGTCCCTTACCCTCAGCTTGCCGCGGGTCTCCTATGTTTTACAACTTTAGTTTGTATCTCCAAACTGCTGGGCGTTCAAAGGGTTAAAAGGGACCAGGAGGGGCCCTGCTGCGCGTGACGGGGTGGGGGGGGGGTGTCTCGAAAGGGTTAAAATTATAAACGCTTTAATCCCCCCTATCTGGTTCAAAATGGGCAGCAACGGGGCCGGGGAGCCAGGGAGCCCCCCCACGGATTGACTTTTTAAAATTTTAGAACTTTTAATTCCGATCAAAAAAGAAAAAAAAAGTGTCCCAGTTCGAAAGTTCTTTTAACCTTTTCTTTTTTCATTTATTTTTTTTCTCGATTTCTCCGCGGGCAGGATTATAAAACTCGCCCTCTCCTTTTGGGTTCGAGGAGCTAGGTTCCCCCCTCCGGGCAGCGCGCGGGGCGGGGGCCGAGGGGGCCCCGGGAGTTTTCTCCCGGGCCGGGTTGGGACGCGGCTGGTGAGTCCCGGCTCCGGCCCCTGAATTGGGGGGTCCGCGTCTGCCCCAAACGCCGCTTTCTTCCGTTTTCCATGTCATTTCCTGTACTAATAAGATGGTGGTCAAAGCAGGGGAGGAGAGCAGCAGCGAGTCGCCGCCGCCGCCGCCGCGCCGAGGCTGGCGCTGAAACTTTGCCTCGCCGGGGACCAGCGCGCCCGCAGCGCGGCCGCTCCCGCCGCGGGGGCCGCCAGCCGGGGCCGCGCCGCCTCCGCCGAGCCGCCCGCCGGGCCGCCCGCGCCGCCCGGGCCCCGCGGCTGCCGCAGCATTCCCGGGAAGGTGAGTCAGCCCCGGTAGCCAATGTGGCCATTGAAAATGGCTTCGGAAAGCGCTCGGCAGTTTGCCAGCGAGCGCGGGGGCCGCGGGTGCAGGGGCTGCGAGCGGCTGCGGGGGGCGCGGGCAACCGGGGGCCGGCGCGGGCGGAGCGGGGGGCCCGGGGCGGCGCGGGCGCGGGCTTGGGGGGGGCGGTTGGTCCCGGCCCCGAGGTGGGTTAACCCTCGGCAGGTAGCTGCCGCCGCCGCCGCCGCCGCTGCGGGATTCGGGGGCCGCCCCTCCGCCTCCTTCCTCCCCGCTCGCTCCTCGCTCGCTCGCCTTGTTACAATGTAGCCTTTTCTCTGCGCCGACGTTCCGCCCGCTGACGGACGTGGCCGCCGACCAATGGGAGCGGCGGCCCGGGCCGAGCGTTCGGAATGAGAACGCGGTGACAGGGGTGGGGCGGAGCGCGGAATGCTGGAGGGCTCTCTGCGGCCGCTGGCCTAGTTCTCGGGGGCACTTTCGGCTTGCTGCCTGGGGCTGATGTGGGGGGCTCGGGCCCTTCAGGAGGCGGTGGGGCCTCTTCCAACGCCGCCCGCGGCGATTTCCCGCGGAAGGTGGCCGAGCCGGGGGCCGTTTCTTTAATATATTTTAAGTCTTAGTTGCCGTGTAGACTCTTCGGGAAATCTCTCTGGAGTGTAGCCTCCATCCCCCACTCGCAATGCCCAAGGTGCTCTCTTCTGCAGGAACTGCAGAAACTTGGCGGCCAATGACCTTTCTCCGGTCAAGGCCAGCACGCCCTAAGCTAGTCGCCGCAAAGAGCATACACATTGCTTGCGCTTTGGGCGATGCTGGTTGAAAAGTTGCTTCTGTCTTGAACTGGGTTGGGCGGGAGGGGTTTGACCCCTGGGATGGGCTGGGACTTAGGAGAGAAAAATGTTCAATCTTTCTTCGTAGACGTTGGCTTCATGTGGGGAAAGGCTGTGGTATATAATTTAGAGTGGCTGAGAGGAAACACACCCAGTTCTTTGTGCGCGGGGACAGGAGGCAATAATGAGAGATTGCTCTTGATGCCTGGAAACCCTATAAACTTAGGGGGGTTTGCCTGGGCTGGGGCAAAAGAATTTTCCGTGGAGCCATATGCCAGTGGCACCCAAGCTGGCCTTTGTCCGCAGTACCCCTTGAGAGGAAGGGAGGTGTTAGGGATGTGGGGTCCGTGGGTCTGAGTCTGTAACAGGCTGTGGTGTCCTTACCTGTGGGGCGGGGACATGGTGTTCACCCACCAGCTCTCTGAGAGGTGGGCAGAGTTCTGTGTGGCCAAATGTCTGAGAACCTGCTGGGAAGAGTCCCATATGATTGTTTTAGTTTAAGGAAAGTGGTTCTCTGTTGGGAGTCCTTCCCCCACCACCGTGTTATAACTGTATGACTTTGGATTTGGCACGGTTACCTTTGATCTCTCTGAACCTTGCTTCTCCATCCTGAAAATGGAGCCAACGGAACCTGTGTGGCAAGGCAGTTGTGAGATTAAAGGCGATAGAGATAAAATGCCTAGTCTGTGCTCCACACATGGTTCGAGAAGTCTTGTTCTCTATCTGGGATTATCGTGGAACCTACTATCCTGGAACCATCAGAATTGCCCAGCCCAAGACCATCCGATTCCAGACAGGGCCTCCAAGGAGCATCTGGGGCAGGGGCTAGTTCTCTTTCCTAATGACATTCTCAAAGACGAGGGGCTCCCCTCCCTTGTCCCAAGAGCCCCGATCAGCCATCACCACCATCACTTATATCCAGCATTGACAGGAGTGAGTTCTGTCCTCCAGACCCCTTGGATTGATGTGTTTCATGAATTTGTTTTCTTTGGTGTCAGTAAGACTTCTGTCATTTGAATCTTTCCTCTCGGAGACTTGGATGTGGAGATGGGGTTTCCCTGGTTCTAGGTCACTGGCAAGTGTGAAGGAAGTAAAGACCATCGGACTAGGAGTCAGGAGTCATACATGTTTATTCAGCTGCCTCGTTGGCCCGTCCCCTTGGCTGTATCATAGTCATGACCGACGCACAGCATCCAAGGCCGTCCCTTGCCTCCTGTCCGTCCTCAGGAAATATTCTGAGCCTCCTAACTGTCCACCTGCAGCTTCCCTTCCTTGCCAGTCTCCACCTCGCAATCAGAGTGATCCGTTCCGAAAAAGCTCACATCAGGCCTCCCGTTTCTTGCTTAAAACTCAGAAGAGTCTTCTCAGCTTTTGGGATAAAGAACCAAATCGCCCCCATGACCTAAAAGCTCTGGAGTGATCTGGCCCCTGCCCCTTCCTCAGCCTCACCTCGCACCCTCCCCCCAGATCTCCCTGCGCTCCAAGTTTAGTTCTCTCCTACATGTGCCCCGCCCTTCTTCTGGAATACTGGACCGCTTATGATCTAATGAATGAGTTGAGGCTGGTAAGGGCAAGGTGGAGCAGGAGAGTGTCTGGGTAGTTCTTGATACTAACCCCTAAACATTTCCAGTTCACCCAGGCACAGGGTAGGATTGAATCTGGACACCCTTGTGCTTGGGTGGGGCCATGTGGCTGGTGGGTGAGTTGTGAGCTACAGTGATACAAATGAGGTTGGGCCAAAGCATCTAGTGGCCAGTGCACGAGCCTCCAGAATGTTCTTTTCCTGTGGCGTGTCAGGTAGCAGTAGGCAGGATAGCAGCTGCCTTTGCTAGCCTGTGTCCCTGGGTGGCTGTGTGGCACGGATCCCCTTGATGTCCCATGATGGACATGCAGCTTGAATGATAACTAAACCTTTGTTGTTAGCAACCACTGAGATTTGGGGGTTGTTTATTACTATAGCATAACCTAGCCTGAACTGACCGATACAAGGACTAGAGGAACATTCCAGGCTGAGACAAGTACATACACACAGGAACTCGGGAAGGCTCACCATTAGCAGCCAGGGTGACCCTTTGGACAAACAAATGTGAGTCTATCAACCCCTGCCTGGAAAACTTTCAGGGACTCCCATTGCTGTTAGGAGAAAGCCAGAAATCATTTAGCCGCCTTCCAGACCCTGTGGGAACACCATTTTGCATCCCTCCATTCGCTATGTTCCACCTGACATGGCGCTTTGTCCCCTCAGCCCTGACCATGCACTGCATTCCCCCTGCTTAGGCTTCCTCATCCGTCTTTCAGCTTCCAACTCACCTCTTCGGGGAAGCCCTCCCTGATTAGGTCAAACCTCCGTGACAGCCTCTCATGGCCCCATGTACCTCTCCTTTGCAGCACTTGTCTCTGTAGCGATTTTACAGTTGTGGGTGTGATTACTGATTCTGGTCTCCTCCTTTCATCAGACCGGCAGCTCTGCGGGGGCAGGGCCTGGGGTTTGCTGCTCTCTTTCCAGGGTCTGCACACCAGGGCTGCTTCTGAAGATGCCCTGAGCATTGACTGCAGGTTCACTGGGTGCCGGGGGCGAGAGACAGGGTAAATGAACCCTGCTTCCTGGGTGTAAGGGCAGGTGGGTCCCGCTGGAAGAAGGCATCATGCGTGGTGGACAAACTGGTCTGTAGGGTACAGGTACCAAGCTCCCCATACTTACAGGTGGCCGCGCCCCACAAGGACCATGTTTCTGGGAGGTCTGAGAGGACACCCAGGAGGGCAAGAGTGTGATATTTAACAAAGCCTGAGGCTTCTGCTGATCTAGAGAGTATATGATAAGGTGATGGGGCCACAGGGTAGGGGATCCAGAGGTGATGAAAATAATGATGACAAAGGAGTGAATGTTTATTGAGGGCTGTTGAGGGTCCTAGGCATGTCTCTATGTAGAAAGCCACTCCACAAGGTATGTGTTATTATTGCCGTTTCACAAATGGGTAAACTGAGGGCCCAGAAGGTGGTGTAAAAGCTCCAGGGTTACACAGGGATATGGCCATGATTGGAACCCTGGCATTCTGATGCCACCTCCTTGAGGATGCCCTCTTAGAATGAAGGCAGAGAACCCCAGACCCACCAAGGAGACACCCCTTTGGAAATGTCACATGGGTTTATAAAACCCTTCTGGGGGGGGGTCAGTTCCCAGGAGGTGACACCCACCTACCCTTAAGCTTTGTGCAAACTGGTTTCTGGCCCAGAGCTGCTTGGTGGTCTTGCTGCCAGGGCTGGTCTGGAACCATCTGGTACATCTCCACCCCTGCTGGGGCCCGAGAATCCTTGGAGGCCCCGGAGCCCCATGTTCTCAGAGTGGGGCCTGGGAGAGGCTTCCCCACAGCTGGCCCAGGGGCTGCGCCGGAAAAATAAGCTGTGCAGAAAGGGGGGAAAAAACAATGAAGAAAAAAGAAAAAAATGTGCTGTTATTTTTAAAAAGCCTGTTTCCTATTGCAGATTTGTATCTGTGTTAGAAAGCCCAGTGTTCGCGTGGTGCAGCCACACTCGTGGTGGTGTCCCTGGCCAGGGCTCTGTAAGAGGGGAGGCCTGGGGCCTCCTTCAGTCCTTCCTTTCTTCATCAGGTGGTCAGGGCTCATGGGCCATCCCTGTGCCAGGTACTGTGCTGGGCTTGGGGGTGTAAGGGAAACCCAGTCTCTGCCCTTGTAGAACTTATGGACCAGCATGGGAGGTGAGCAATTAACCGGGCAGTTAAAGATTCTAGTACAAGGATGTAAGCAGATGGCCGCCGACTCTAAGTCAAGGAAGGCTTCCTGGAGGAGGAGGTGGCCTTCAAGCTGGGTTTCGAAGGATTGAGGAGATAGTAGAGAGGGGAGAGACATTCTAATGTGGGGTATGGCTTGTGCAAAGGCCTGGGCACACAGAAGGGCTTGGAGAAACTCAAGTAGTTTGGTTTCCCTCCCTATAAGTGGAGACTGTAGGATCAGTCCAGTGCCACATTCTTTGGACAAAATTTTTTTCCTCCCTGTCCTCATGATCAGATTTAAGAGGAACACATATCGTGCCCCCTGAGGTCCCTTCTATATCCATTTATGGATGGGGAAGCTCAAGCAAGTTCAGAGAGGTTAAGTGACTAGCTCTAGATCACCCAGCTATAATCTAATCTTTCCAGTC